ATTTTTATTGTTACTTACATTTGCAAAACTATATATATATTTTTTCCTCCCTATTTAAAGACTTAGACAGATTTTATTTGTCATTTTGTTTGCACAAGTAAAACAAAAAGCTCTGGACAATTTTATCTTATTTTAAAGTTCAGCCTTGAAAAATAGTTAAAATATAATAATAATAATAAATAAAAATAAATGTATAAAAACAGTAGTATAAACATATGACTATAAATTAACAGTTTGTGTTTTTTTTTTTTTTTCTTCAATATGTTCTTTGCAACATTATTGCAAAAACTCCCTCTATAAAATAGCAGCTAATGGACTTTAGGTTATTAGTTTTAAATTAAAGTGTTTAAATATAAATCCCCCCCCTTGTTTTTTGTTTTTTTCCCTGCTGTAGGCCAACATGTCGATCTCCAGCCTGACGGGGAAGAAAAAAGTAGCACTAACCACCCTGGGCGTGGTCACAGCTGGCGGCGCCGGGCTCGCTCTGATGCTCCATCAGTCTGTGAAAGCCTCTGAGTTGGAGCTGCATCCTCCCAACTACCCCTGGAGCCACTCGGGGCCTCTGTCCTCTCTGGACCACTCCAGGTGGGTTGAACGGCGTCACCTACACCAGGAATGAACCTCAGATGAATCTTGGAAATTGTAAATGTTTATCCCCTAAAGATTTCTTCTATAGAACAGAACTGAACGCTCACTGAACCAAAGGAGGCATTAACCAAATGGACCCCAGTACAAACACTAAACCACTCCACCTGCAAGCCTTGGAATATAATAAGTTCCAATAAAAAGTAACTGGAATAAAATTTGTTGTCTACAAAATAGGACTTTTTTATGGTCCAGTAAATGGTGAAACGCATTTAAGTGAAATTGGTAAATTAGGACACAGATTTGAAGTCCAAAATGGACTCATTTCCATCAACATTCCTCGCCAACAAACGGCAGCAGCTTTAGGAAAAATAAACATTTATTTAGGGCTGCAGCTATTGATTATTTTGCAAATCGATTAATCTGATTATTTTTGTTGATTAATCAAACAAGACACGGATTGACAAAAGTACTTTAAAGAATAATTTTTACCAAATCAAACCAGGCTAATGTTAGCCCTGGCTGTGGTTAGCCTCGGAGGTCCACTGGTTGCAGCAATCCTCTCAGCTTTGGAACTTTTTTAAAATGATGCACTAAATCAGTAAATGG